AAATGGAATTGAAGGCTCTTGCAGCACTTTTATAGAGCTGTGGGCCCAGAATAATTTCTTTCTTTCTTTTTCTTAAAAACAAAACTTTTTTTTTTTTTTTTTGGTAGAGACAGGATCTGGCTGTGTTGCTCAGGCTGGTCTCTAACTCCTGGCCTCAGGTGATCCTCCTGCCTTGGCCTCTGAAAGCACTGGGATTTTAGGCATGAGTCACAGCGCTCAGCCTATTATAGTTACCAATGTTTACCATATTATAAATTAAAATAGAACTTTATCAATTCATTTAAAAATAGCAGTAATAAACTCATGTTGTAACAATAAGATTTTAATGAAAAAATAACTGTATTTTCCAAAAATGGATTTAGTGAGAAGGGTGGCATTGTTTTGTATTTTTGTAAATGTCTCTAGTATCTGCCTTTATAGAAACCACTAGAGTCTCATATATGCTTCAAACTATTGTGATATGTTGTTTTGGTTGAAATATACAACAAAATTCAGCCTTATACCAAAATATAGTTAGGAAGAAATAATTTAGTAGCCTTTCAGATCATTGTGGATATTCTTCTTTGATACTATACCAAAACCTGACAAGTAGTAATTTCTTAAAGGTTAATTACAACATGGAAAGTATATTAATGAACGTTTTGTGCTGTGTTAAATTAAAATCCATTGGCTTATCTTGCACTTTGAATGGATCTATTACCCATGCATGATTTTATAATGGCATACATTAGCCCTTTGGAAAATTGATTCACTGATGCATTGGTTTGCCAGGGCTGTCATAACAAAGTACCATAGACTGAGTAGCTCAAACAACCAATTTATTTTCTCACGGCTCTTGAGTTGGCAGAGTTGATTTCTTTTGAGGTCTCTCTCCTTGGCTTGTAGATGGCTGTCTTATCCCTATGTCCTCCCATGGTCTTTCTTTCTTGTGTGTATTTTGTCCTAATCTCCTCTTTTTATAAGGAGACCAATCATACTGAATTAGCCCCCACACCCACTATGACATCATTTAACTTTAATTACCTCTCTAAAGAGGTAATTTGGACCTTATCTCTAAATATGGCCATATTCTAAGGTAAAGGAGTTAGGACTTTAGCATGCAAATTTTGGATGAACACTAGTCAGCTCGTAACAGCTGATCTGTGCAGAGTGTAGATTTCATTACACAAAATCAAGAAGTCACATCCTTTAC